CAAATTTAATTAAAATACGACCATCAGATTCTTTATATTATTTTTATAATATAGTTTCAATTGATGGATCCAAATTCTCTTCAATATCTTAAATCAAAATAGGATATCCATTAGTAATACATAATCTCATATCAGATTAAAATTTTGGATCTGAAAATTTAACAACTTTTAATTTAAGAGCAGAAAAAGAACTCTTAATCCAATTATTAGCTTATTATTGTGGATCAATCATTAAAGGCCATCTATATCCTTAAGTAGCAAGAATAGAATTCTCCTAAGAAACAGAATCACTTGGTAATTTATTAATTGTCCAATCTCTCAATTATAATGGATCACCAAGTGTACCAACTAATGTAAATTTCTCAGATACAGGAATTTATGCTTCTCTAACCTTTTCTGTCCAATGATTAATTAATTCATTTCTATATGGTCCTGTAAATGGTCCATTATATGAAATAGATGCTGCTGCCAAAAATACATCACCTATTAAATTGATTATAGCAATTCCTAATTCTTCAACTGTTCTTGCCCATCTTTCAGCCTCTGATGCTGTCAAACTAATTAATTTCTATGCTCTATCTAATCTAGCTTCAGTTAATTCTTTTAAGTTTTCAAGATCTTATTTCTTTTATGCCATTTCTGCTGTCTCCTACTATAATTTCTTAACTGCCTATTTAACTTTTAAAAGTTCTCCTTCCTTAACTGCTAATTCTTTATTTGCCTAATCTAATATTGCCATCATTTCTGCCACCTTCTTTTTCTTTGGTTCTACTTTCTTACTTACATTTGCATATGTATTCATAGCTATACACCATGATGCCATATCTGCAGCAGGTTTAGCCTTTGTTCTTATTAAATCAGGTACAAAGTCATCTCTTGAAATTATTTTTTTTAAATTATTAAGAATTTTCTCAGGAATATTATCTCTTGGATAATTTTTCAACTAACTTACAAATGATCCTACATCAATCATTGCCTTTTTAGCAGAATCCCAACTAGTATTTTAACCTAATAA